GAATTGGTTTTGCAACAGCAGTTGATCTCTTATATGGTAGATTATTGAGATTATTGATCAAATGGCAAATCTCAAAGTGTGCATGTAAGTTTTGGTTCTACATTAGCATAAACGCACAAATTATAACCCTATCCAAGCCTCATCTTGCTACCAAAAAGCCATTAGTAAATATACTTGTCCTCAAAATCGAGCAAGGATTTCTATAGTCTTCAGGTAGATGGGATAATCTGTCTTTGTGGTGTGAGGTGAAATTTGCAGAAGGGTGTTTTAAATCCATTTTTCTCTGTTTGTGGTTTTTCAAGTTTGAAATTATAGTTAGAATTTAGTAATTGTGTGCCCATACTTTGATACCTAATAGTTTTAGCTCAGGCACATTTGAAACATAATAATACTACAACAGGATTATTGTAAGAAAAAGGTCATAAAATTGTCTTCACTCAGTGTTTCTAAAACCCAGAGACTTCATGGAAATTAATCATCTTGAAGAAGGGTGTAGAGAGAATTACCTGATTTGCAATGTGATTTCAGGGAAGCCACAGCTTCCCTAACTTTATCTGTAGAGCATTTCGCACCCTGATAGAAGTTAAAAATCTTAAAACTGTAACTACTTGTTAAATAGCTTCTGGAGCTATTTGTGTAGTTTTAATATATAAGTATACATTCAATAAAAATACCATTTTCTCATGATCTTTGTGATACAATGTTTTCACATAAAATTTGCATCTGTTCCTATTGCTATTCATTTTCCTTCAGTAGAGGCCTCTGGATAGCATTCCTTGGTTGCATCAGCATCCTCTGCTCAGCATTAAAAATCCCAGGGAAGAGACCGTCTCTTCCACTTTACTTTGCTTCCAGCATCATATCCATAGTGACATAGTAGACACCATCTTGAATTACTATGTAGACAACAGCAATAAATTGTAGCCTATCACTGAGGTGCGGTCTTTAGGGCACGAGGGAAGTAGTGCAAATTATGATTCCCTTAACTATATCCCATCTGCACTCACATTAAAAACAGAAAAATGGTGAATATGCTTTCTTTTTATGAGATAAAGTATGTAATGTTACAGATACATTCAAATAAATAGTTTGTTCTGTCAACTCTAACAGCTAATAAAAAGGGATATAAGTCAAAGGAAACTACGTTTTGGACTACGGGAATTTCTTGGGGCTTATTCACCTCTACTTTGAGAAAGTAGTGCTGAGACCATACATGGGGTTTTAGAATGGAGATAGTAGTGTGAAGCTGTATCAGTATCCACAGATTCTGCCTTTTAGACCTGCCAGACACTCAGCTCTTGCCTGAGAAATTCAGGCTAAAGACAGCATGTACTACAGTGGGAAAAAGGGAAAACGAAACGTTATTTTTTTAAAAAAGACAAGTTACTTTAAATTTTATGTAAATTACACTGTAATTAGCTCATGAAAGTATGAAATAAATGTAATCAAAATGTGATTTGAGGATCTCAACAAATTTAAGAAAAAATATGAGTATTGCTTTAAATATGCGTAAATATGCACTTATGACAATGAAACAAGAGAAAAAAGCCTTGCAAGATGTTCCTGTGGTTTTCATGAGGAAAAATTGAACATTTAAGTTAACGGAAGTAAAAACAATTTAACAGCATTGGTGATATGTAAATGGAACATAAGCCAAAGATTTAAGAAGAATGAATCATTAGATCTTCAGTGAAGAGGTCCAAAAGGCAGAATGATTCAGCTGTTTTATCTCCCATTCCGAAATTTTTGGAAAGTATACAGATTGTTAGAAAATTGTTACAGCAGACCTCTTTCTTCAAAGGGAAGTTATTCTCATGTGGGATGAGAAATGCTTTCTACATGTGATGATTGTTCTGTCTAGAGCATCCTTTGCTAATATGAAGACAGTACCAACAGAAGTAGTACTAAAGAACAACTGGTACCAAAAAGAGGAAAGGTCTAATCTCTGAATGTCTAAGTTACTTTTCTCGTTGCTAAGACAAAATACCTGATACCCCAAGTTAAAGGAGGAAAAGTTTATTTGGCTCACAGTTCGTAGAGGTTTCAGTCCATAATTGGCTGGCTCCAGGGCACGGTGGCACATGGCAGAGGGGCAACAGTTCATGGCGGCAGAAGACAGCAGGGAGCTTAGCATCTTTCTGCTCCTTTTATACTCTTATCCAGGCTACTGGGATTAGGGTGGTACCAAACCAGTCAGTGTACTGGCTTAGTAATCACACACTCTTAATCCTAGCATCACATACTCAAGGTTCAGCCACCTCTGAAAATGCCCCATCTAAAACTGCATGAGGCTTTGAGGGCACATCAAGACACAAGCTATAACACCAACAGTTCTCTGTAGAGAATTTAAACTGCATGTCATTAATATCCTTAAAGGGGTTCAACTGTAGAGCGACTGTTTAATATTTTAATGAATTAAAACAGCTTTAGGGTCAGACTGCCTGTGTTTGAAGCCTGGTTTTAGCACTTACTCATTGTTTGGCTCTCAGTGTGCCTCAGTTTCCTCATCTAGAAGATAGGGATAATAATTTTACCTAATAAAGTTGTCTTGGATATTAACTGAATTAATGAATAATGCTTAGAATAGTACTAGGCATATAGTAAGCGTTCAGTCAGCATTTTTATTATAACTATATTATTCACTCATACAAACTGGCTAAGATGAAAAAGAATTCTAAATCTTGAAGTAAAAATATATGATTGGTGAAATAAACACAGTTATTAGGACAAACACAGCTGAAGATCAGATTCATGACTTGGATAGTCAAGCAAAGGACTTTTCCTTAAAAACGATGTCAAGTGAAAAAAAGATGCTAAGTATGAGAGAAGGTATCTACTTCTTATATCGAATAGAAGCCGTACACAGAAAGTGTGAGAGAATGAGAAGGAGGGAAACTGTATTTTCTTTAATAATGGAAGGAATGTTCACAGTTTTGAAGAAGGACTCAAATACAAGTTTGGCAACTGCTGAGCAGAATTAATGAAAAAATTTCCATTCTGTAAAGCTTTTGAAAGAAAAAGAGGTTATCTGCATAAATCAGATATTAGACTTCTTAGTCTAATTACAGCTGTATTACACAATAGATTTTAAATTCTGATCAGAAATGATTTGGAACCAGTTTTGTTTTTAGCCAAATTAGCTTCCAAAAATAATGTCTGCCACTTTTGTAAGAAGAGATGTTACAGGAGAGCCTATGTTTCCGCTATTACTACTGTTTCAGTTTTTCAAAGCTTAAATGAAAGGCCTCATGTGCAGTGATAGAATTGAGAGCATTTGAGGAAGATTGATGTTTAATTCAGTGTTGACAAAATTGTATGTTTAAGTGTGTTTGTCAAAATTGGAAAGGTGAAAACATTTTTAGAGTGACCACTAAAGGAACAAAATGGGGTGTACAATTACCAAACCAACAGTCAGCAAACTGTTTGTATTTAGGTAGTCACTGTTATAGGTTGTAGGCTGAATTGTCTCTGCAGCACTGATTGCACCATGCTACTGTAACATGGAAGGAGCTATGGACTGTATATATAAACAAATGCCTCAAGCTGAGTTTCAATAAAACCTTGTTTATAAATTCTGAATTTTTAATGTTATGTAATTTTCTCATATCACTAAATACTATTCTTAATTTGTGAGTCATGTTAAAAGAGACTGTAAACTGAATTTGGTCCACTGTCCATAGTTTGCTTGCTTCTCCATTAGAGAGAAATGGAAGCGGCAAGGAAAACTTAATTTCAACCAAAGACCAAAAAAGGGAAATGGAGAAGGGGTGGACAAGAAAGCACAAAGAAATATAACAAATAGGAAACATGAAAGATATCAGCAAGAGAAAAGTTAAATAAATGTGAATAGAGTAAACTTTTCTAGTAAAGATGAGAGATTCTAAAAAAAAAAAGATGAGAGATTCTCAGACTGGCTACAGCCTAAGTGGTAATAGGGTATAGAAAAGGAAATCATGGCATATCTGAAGTACAGAACAGTGCTTTTTGTTTGTGAGTACCTACTGTTTGTCCCTGCCAGCTGAAATGGTGTATATTGAAAAGATAGGCACGGTGGTAGGAGAGGTGGCTCCACACACTGGCAAGACCGGTGGAAACCAAAACTATCTCATCATGGATTAAAATCAGTTTTAAATGGCTCAGTTCAGCAATAAGAGTTTTTGATCTTCACTACAGTACGTTATCTTTATCTTGCTCAACTACCTCTGCTTTCTGTGCTATTTGTTCTCCCCGTGATCCTGGGTAATGTTTCTGAGAAAGTACAGACATTTGGCCGGCCTGGATAGTTACTGCATTTGGCCCAGGGATTTCATGCTTCACGGGCTATTGCACACACCATGGATTGTCTGCCTTGAGCCTGGCAGCTCCCAGTCTTTCTAGACATTGTGGCCAGAGAGAGCTGGGCATTCATCTGAGAGAAGGCTCTTGTAGGGCTGCCTCATTAGCAGCAAGGTAGATTTGCCCAAGAGAAAGGCCTTATGGCCACAGTGAATACTCCGGTGAGCATGTTTCATAGCCACTGCACAGTTTGCTTTTTCTTTAAAACTTAAAGTGATTAGCACTGAAAATAGCAGTCACACTTAGAGACCGAGTAGGACAGAAGAGTATTACAGAGAGTGCTTCTATGATCTGGGAAATGTTCTTTGCTCATCACTCTGTAAACCTCACAACACAATCCTTTCTCTCTTACAGGTAACTTGGTTAAAAAACTGTTTAGTTAGGGTTGTTAAAATCTTGGACAAGGTAGGGTAATATCAGGGAAGTTTCTAGTCTTCATATTTTAATAGCTAGTTTTGGCTTGAAATGTAGGTTTTTAGACTACCAAAGCCCTTTAAAAATATTCTCTGATACATGTATTACTTAAAACCCAAGATTAATACTGAATTTATGGTATATCCTGGAATGCTTATTTTGATAATAAAATCACAAAAACCTAAAAAATCTATTTAGTAATACGTGAATATTATTAAATTATGTGCAAACATTTGTCAAATTCATTCTAGGCTGGGCCATGCAGGCTGCTGCCTATATCTTCATTCATAGGAAGTGGAAGGATGACAAGAACCACTTTGAAGAGATGATTGATTACTTTTGTGACATCGGTGAACCACTTCAACTCCTCATATTCCCAGAAGGGACTGATCTCACAGGTAAGATAGATTGGGTTTGGGTCACAGAGTTCTAAAACATAGGGGAACTTAGAAATTAGCTAGTGAAAACAATTTATTCTTCAGGTGAAGTAATTGAATGCCAACGGGATTAATTTACCACCCATAAGGTCAGTTAATCCGAGGTCACTCAGTCAATCGCTAGCACATCAGGACCCAGGATTCATGGTTTCCAGCCCACTGATTTTATTATAGATAGCTGCAATCAGTCATTATTATTCACACTTGCTATCCTAGACTTTCTATTTTGAGCCTCAGAATATATTTTAAAATAGCCTTTTATCTTTATATAAGCAGAACTTTAACATTATCTTTTAAGTAGTTTTTCCATACCTGTTCTATATATTCTCTTGTCCTATTCCAAGGCATTTATTTATCCTTTAACCGCTTTCCCCTCAGCATTTTCCTTATAAGAAAAAAAAATCTGAGAGTAACTAATTTCAGTTTTGTTGATTTAAATTTATGTGTTAGCTTTCTTTTAATATTTAAACCTTTTCTTTGCTGTAAGTAGGAAAGGCTTTGGCATATCTGTAGTAATAAGGAACGACATTCATCATTGCCAGGTGAAATAATAAATGTATTCTGAGATATGCATAGCAGTTGGAGAGAAGCCAGATAGAATGGAAGTCGAAAAAGCACAAGCAGTGCAGAGAGAAGGAGCATGAATTTTTCTTCCTGAACTTTGATACTAAGTCAAGAAGGGCAACCCTTAGAACTTACGAGAAGAGAACAGGTAAATGGACATACTAATTCATACTGTGGACATAATTTATGGAACCCATCACCCCAAAATGTTCAAAATAAAAAATACAAATTTCACAGATACTTGAGCGGTGACAGAGCCATAGTAGGTTGATAAAGGAAATTAAGGTATCTTGGAAAAGATTTACAGTAGATGGCAATAAAGAAATCTTTGACTTATCTGTTGCAGATGGAACTGAGCTACATAACTGTGGCAGTTTCTATGTACTAGGCAAGTCTCTGAAATACATGCTTACTGTGCAGTGTATGTTTGCTTTTCTGCTTGAAATTCTAAAAGTAGTTGGATCAAAGAGTATAATATGGAGACTAATATCGCCTGCCTGTTGTTTAAGCTTGAAATTAAATCACAATGATTGTATTGTAAGTTGATTTCCAGAGCTAAACTATCATTAGGAAATTATAATAGACAGCCATATTCATATTATATAATATTTAGAACATACAGTACAGTCATAACCTTGGTACCTGACTGACTGCTTTAAAACTTCTTAAATTTGGTACTTGGCACATTGTGATGCAGATGTTTTGTTCCAGAACTCATTGTTTGTTACTCCACTTGCAAGCTAAAATTTGTCAGTGCCAGTTGCTTCCTGATTGGCTGCCCTTTCCAACCAAGGCAATTTATGTGGTCTTTTGTGGGACTCCTTGGACTCTGGGTACCACTGTACCTAAATGTGGGTGTCAGCTCCATTTGATAAATACAGAGTATAAAAAGCCATTTACTGAAATGATAGCTTGATTCCTATTTCTGAATGCCAAGATATACATTAAAGAATAGCAAGTTTCAAACTTATTAAATGGGAAAAAGGTCATGTATCACTCATCCTTTGGTACATTAGTGTTAATATGTTCATCCAGTAGACTTTCAGTCTATAAAATATATTTAAAACACTTCATTCTGCATTTTTTTTCTAGAGTTTCTTTTGTAGTTGATGAACTTCACATCAGTTACTTGTTTAGAGTCCAGAGTACTCCCTATCACACGATATTTTTATAAGTTAAAATGATATTTACATTTTGAGAGCAACTTGCAGAAGCCTCAGTATTTGCCATTAGAGAAAACAGACTGTTTCTGAAGCTTTACAAAGTGTTTTTTGTTGTTTTTTCACAGAATTATACAGATAATTTTACTGAGTTAGGGAAAAAAGTTTTTAATAAACAATTTGGAAAAAATATTTATTAAGCAGTGTTTCTAATTACCACAGTTGGATTTTTAAGCCTAAAGAGAACATTAGAGTCTACTTTTAAGTTCTGAATCTAGTTTGCTTGCACATTTTCAAGTTCACACATTTAAATGTTACGTTATATACATTCTGTCTTCATATATTGTTGGTTATAACTTTTTCTTATTAATGGAATATGTTAATATGGGGAAATTTAGAAAGAGACATTTATACATTGCTATAATCCCACAGCCCATAAATAAACACCATTCTAAATTTGATCCATTTCTCTTAGGTCATTTGGCCACATGCACACGTGTACACATACTTGTGTTATGCATATTCACATGTATGTAATGAAGTAAAATTGGAAAATTGAGCTGGGCGTGGTGGCACACGCCTGTAATCCCAGGACTCTGAAGGCTAAGGCAGGAGGATTGCCATGAGTTTGTGCGTGGGCTGTATAGTGAGTTCAAGGCCAGGCTGAACTACATACAGAGACGCTGTATCACAAAATTAAAAAAAAAATTGGTAAATTGAGATCTTGCTTTTGTTTTTTGTCACTTAATGTTATATTGTAGTCATTCTTGCCACTGTTTATATTATGTCGATGTAATAGGGTTCATCAGAGAAACAGAACCAATTAGATATGTGTAGGGAGAGAGAGGTTGGGGTTTATTTTAATGAAGTGGTTTTTGGGACATTGGATTCCTGCCCAGTCCACAATCTTTAGGGTGGGCCAGCAGGGTAGAGTCTGGGAAAGTTGCAGTTTGAATCCAGAGGGGGTCTAGAGCCAGAAATCCTCCTTTCCTGTGGGTGAGGGGCTGGAACCCAGGGCCTTCGCACTGAGTATGTGAGTCAGGGACTCCTAAGTTGCCCAAGCCAGCTCGAAATTGTAATCCTCCTGCCTTAGCCTTGCAGAGTGCTAGAATTACAGGCATCCACCACCATGCCCAGCTCCCTGTCTCTTTCTGTTAATCCTTCATCTGATTTGGATGAGGCCCTTCTGTATGATGGAGGGTAATCTGCTTTATTCAATCTACTGATTTGAATATTAATGTTACTTAAAAATACCTTCACAGAAACATCTAGAATAATGTTTGATCAAATCCTTGGATACTATGGTCTAGTAAAGTTGCCACATAAAATTAACCAACACAGTTCTTATACTATACTTTTGAGTTCCAGTTCCCTGATTTGGAAAAGAAAACTATTTTAAATATTGTATACAGTTTAATACCTTTGTACATAAAATGTGTTTATTTAATATGCCTGGAGCTTTATATACAAAACAAAATCCTTTCATGAAACACAGATAAGGAAAGAAACTGATAAGTTAAAATATATACAGTTAGTGTAAGTTCTGTGAGAAAACAATGAAGCAGGATAAGGAGCTATTTGATAGAAGGTGGGTAGGGCAAGCTGCTCTGTTAAATTGGGGTTAAGGAAGAACTAAATGAACAAAGCTGGGAGCTGTGGGAGCACGTGGGTGGGAGCCCTTCTTGGTAAAGGGAAGCAGGAAATGCGCCTGGGTGTCTGAGCTGAGAATGGCCCAAGTGCTGTAAGTAGAGGAAGTGCGGGTGGGAGTTACTGGGAGAGAGCGCACAGGCAGGAGCTTGTGGTCAGAAAGAGGGATGCTGCTGAGGTTACCAAGAACAACAGGCCTGGGGATGGGTAAGTGAAATAGGGGTGAGGGAAAATCTGCGAACTAATCCATTTCTACCTTTCTACATCATGACTGCACATTTTGAAACTGTTTATACTCGTATTCACACGTACGGAAGACTTCCGTTTTATCTTGAGTATCCCCAGCTTTCTGACAAGAGCAGAGTAGCCAGCAGCCAGTCACTCCTCATCTTTGTGGTGTCTCTGGGGTTCCTAATTGCATGTAAGTTCGGTCAGCTGCCTGTGGTAGGAATCCTGTTTTGTAGTCCCATGCCCAGGAGACTCCCAGTTGAATGTGAGAACAGCTTATTAATTTGCTGTGGTTGGGGCCTTTCCTTTTTATTTGGAGAAGATCTGAGGGTATCTGACTCAATTCCTCTATTCTAATACCTTCCTACGAGTCTTCTTTGAATATTTTCATAATGTGGCATGCATCTGTGATGTTTGGAAGTTGGGAAACTCAGTGATATTAAATTTACTCCTAGGAAACCTGTGCTTTTTAGGTACTTTTCTTGTGCTTGGCATAAATCTGTAAACTTCAGAGTGCAGCTGAGGATTGCAGGTTTTCACATCTGCTGTCATCAGAAGCATTGCATGATCTCTCCCAGCAGTTGAGCCCACATTTCTGAGCACTTTACTTTTTCCAAATGTATTTGCTGAATAATGGGTTTGGTTCTTCTTGGAACTTGTAAAGTTACCTCATGGAATGGAAAAAGCAGTTTTTGCCAGCAGTTGGAACATATACTTGACTCCTAACTGTGTTCAGCCAAACCATGTTCAGATGTGTGTCCAGAATGTGCCAATCATGTCCCCCTTGTGTTGTGGAGTGGTTTGGGTTTGTAACATCACCCAGCCCTGTGGCCTGGGCAAGGCAGGTAGCTTGCACGGCAGACTCAGTACCAGTACCGAGTAACAAAACAATGTTGAGCTGATACATTTGAGAGCCAGTTGTTTCTTCTGGACGTCTTGATTCTTACCTTGTATTAGTTTTTCATTATATTAGCGTTTTATGTTTTAGAATTTGTTTTTATTACAAAAGGGTTTTATGAAAATTTTAGTTTCTTATTTTACTTTTCATTATATTAACTTTCATGAATTCTAACAATTTAAAGAATTGAATACAAATTTCAGACAAATTTTATTTAAAATCTTTTGATGCCTTGTTATAAAATTTAAAAAATTACATTAGATTGTCTGGGATCTTTGTAAGGGACTAGCTAAAAGGTTTGAATCATATCAATATATTGTATTCAGTAGTTACAGAACATTAACTGCCATCTCTTCATTTAAAAAATACATGTCTTTTACCTCTCCTTTTATGGTTTCCAATCATCTTTCTTTTTTTTTTTCCAGAAAATAGCAAGGCTCGAAGTAATGATTTTGCTGAAAAGAATGGACTTCAAAAATATGAGTATGTCATACATCCAAGAACTACAGGCTTTACTTTTGTGGTAGACCGTTTAAGAGAAGGTAGGCATCCATCTCAAAATGTACTTTTTGTTTTGTAATGAAAGTGGCTAAAATTTCTAAACTTTATAAATAGTTCTTTACTCTGATTTCCCGCAACCTGTTTTGTACAGTGGGGACATCTATGACAAATAAGAATCTTCATCTGGTAATTGCTACACTCTCATAAAACTGCCTGTGCCTAACATGAAAGGTCTCAAACCATTATGTGAGAAAAGGTATAAAGCTGGGGATTTAGCTCAGTGGTTCCGGCACCTGCCTCGCAAGTGCAAGGACCCGAATTCGATCCCCAGTACCAAAAAAAAAAAGAAAAGGTATACAATTTACTTCTTTCCCTAATGGCATTAAGATGGAAAGCATAACCTACCACAGTGAGGCTTCTTTACAATTATTAAGTACCCATGATTGTAAAGAAATGTGTACTAACAATTCAAAAATTACATTGATACCCTAAACCAAAACTGTTATCCTACTAATTTGGCTGTGTTTGAAATACTGTGGTCACTACTAATTTGGCACGGACTTGTGGGCAACATTCCATTGTCTGTGGGTAGTGAGTGCCTATCTTCCTTCAGAAGCTTATGGAGGTGGTAGTTCTTGCCACCTTGGAGTAAACTGGCAAGGCACCAAGACATTAACGTGGTAGTGCTTGATTCTTTCTTTTTTTTTTATGTGCCATTTATTGTGGTATCTAACTTAGACTCACCCTTCTCAGTCAATAATATGATTTCTTTAAAGCACTTCTGACATGGAACACATTTGTCTACCCAGTTTCTCTGTAAGCAAAGCATAACTCTGGAACACATCCTTTGCTAATAAAGAGTTTTCTAAACATAGGCAGGAAAATTGAGAGATGATTGTTTAGAAGGATATAGGATATCTCTAAAGGTCTGAAAGCTAGAAAATGTTTTAGTAGCAAATTGAATTATAACTTTCCTGCACATTTGAGGAACACTCAGCAGAACAAGAGTCAGCAACCATAATTAGTCACTTTTCCTGCCAGAACTGATCCCCTGCCCCATATCAGTATTTTTAAAAAGCAACACACACACAAAAAAAAACAGAAAGAAAAAAAAAGCAACACAGATGATCCCATTTGCTTCAGTTGGAAAACTAGATGCCTATCCAGGTGATTCATTTTACCTTAAGTTAGAAATGTAGACTGCGATCTACACACTGTAATAATAAATGTAAGAAATACGTTGGTGATTGTTAAAACAGTAATAGCAGATATCATTAATACAGCCTTTACTGAATGTAAGAAATTATGGTATTTTTATACTTAAATTCGGTTAATCCTTATGACAATCCTAGACAATAGTTATCACTCAGGGTGCAGAACCAGAGCAGAAATTGAGGGGGGAAAAAACCATATCAAAGTTACTGAAATAGTTTGACTGAATAGCACACTCTTTCTGCAGTAACTTGCTGCTTCCTCTATAGCATGAATTTTGTTAACAAAATTTCTAAACCCTAAAGCACCTGTTTAACAGTAGTGAGCGGGGTTGGGGCACAGTGAAAGAGGAAAAATTTCATTCAGGATCAGAGGTGGAGAGGATCTTAGAGGCTACAAGTCCAGAGTACCCTTGTAGACAAGTAATCCAGGAGTCAGAGGGCGCCTCACAGCTTTCTGATGTTGACACATCTGAGCTCTGCACTGATGATAAATTGTGTGGAAAGGAAGTTTGCTGCTGAAACAAATGACTTATAATTAATATTCAGCTGGAACCCTGGAGACCACATATTGAAACAAATTACCATAAAATAATTTCTTTACTGTTCACACTTGTTGCTGCTCTCTACTAGGCAGCTAGTACAAGCGTAGTACAAGTGGCGAGTGAAATGTTAGGACATCAGGAAGTTAGGGATAAAGTTGTAGCAGGAAGTATGGAATAAGAGAAAATACAAAACAAGGAAAGTAGTTTCAGTGTGTCTGGTTAGGGTATTTTTCGCCAAGAGTGAGAGCACTTGGAAAATTCACAATTATTTTGAAGTGTAGCACCAATCATGTGGCATTATACAAATATGGTGTTTCTGTAACAATAATGGTAGAAGGTTTACCTTCAGTACTTTGATTTCCACCATTTGTGTACTTGCTTTATAGTCCTGCTAGATCATAACTTTTTTGAGGATATGAATGCCCTACCAACAGAAGGGGCTTAGTCAGTATTATTTGCACAGAATATTTTAAAATTTTGACTAAAAATACATGTGTGGCCTGCTGTGTTCTCAAGACATTGTATATTACACTGATAGATATTTGTCTTGGGTGATTTGTTTCATATGTACCTCTAATCACAGAACGTTTCCATATGTGATCATAATTCAGACTCAAACTTCGGTTGCTGACTTAGAGGAAAGAGGCTTCACAGGAGGAAAGTTCATTGTGTTTCTTTTAATTACACAGGGATAATAAATCCATAACATAGTTTTAAATTGTTAATCACTGCACAAAAATTACTTATATTCATCATAACCTCGGGTGTTTCATCGTGCTTAATAATAATAGCTTAATTCTTCTTTGACGACAAATAATGATTTGGCCCATCCATTATTTGATTTTGTTTTACATTTTGTAAACCAATTACCAATTACTGAGTTGCAATAATTAATTTCACCTTTAGGTGGCAAAAGTGTGCACATTTGAAACAATTTAAAATTAGGTTAGAGTAACTATGGGAGGGAGAGTGAAACTATTTACAAGTATGCCCTGTCGGAGATGGGACTTTGCTTTCAAGAAGTTTACAGTCCTCACAGATAGATAAAGATGATGCACACTGAGATGGACGTGCTGGTGCATACCTGTAATCTTAGCTACATAAGAGGCTCAAACATGAGACTTAAAGTTAGAGGTCAGCCTGGTCAGTTTAGCAAGACCCTGTCTCAAAATAAAAAGATAAAAAGGGTTGGCTATGTAACTCAGGGTTCCTTGGGTTCAACCTCCAATACCACCTCCAAAAAAGATCCATATTGAAAATAATATCAAACAAGTCTTAGGGTATGTGTTTATAACTATGCTGAATAATTATGAGAGCATTCAGCAGGGTGTGGTGGCGCAGGCCTGTAACCCCAGCACTTATGAGGCCAAGGCAGGAGGATCACCAGAAGTTCAAGGCCAGCCTGGGCTACATAGCAAGACCCTGCCTCAAAACAACAAAAATCAAACAAAAACAGTATGCAGCCCAGGGCATATAATACTAAGATAGTGAAGTAAGGCTTCTGGAAGAAGCTGAATTTCCCTTGGCGTTAGAGACTGTATGTGATCTGGCTAGGCCTAAAGAGACAAGAGTGGCTTAGAAAGAGTATAAGGAAGGCCACAGAGTCAAGCCAGTGCGGACCTGCACAGGGACCTAGGAAGAATCAGCCCATGGAGCTGAATTTCAGGCCTGTGTTGTAGCATGGGAGACAGCATTTAAGGAGGTTGCCTGTGGCCATTGGTATTAAACAGCCCAGATAGTTGTGACTCGTTTGTCTGTTACTAGGTCTAGTCACTCAAGCACATCAGCTTGTTTATTAAGACTAAGTCATTGTGTAGTTACATATAAGTTGTAGGTTTGAAATAAGATTTTTTAGAAATTTAAGGCAGTCTATATTTCTATTCCTATTTAACTCACTTGCATAAATTCTAAATATAAAGAAATGAAGGATGCAGTCTTTCCACTAATCTAGGGGATACAGAGTGACCTGCTGAAGAAAAAATAAATTCCCCCAGGATTAGGGTACTTGAAAAAAAGTCTTCATTCTGTGTTCAGGGAGAGAGAATTGCTTACTTAACACCTGGTAGCCTATGTTTGGCTCTTTCATTTTTGTCCATAGGAGTTCTCATTTGCTCAGAGAAAATTGAAAGCAAAAGGAATACATCAACTGTAGACAGCTCAGTCTCTTGACTGCATTGTTAGACCTTTTTCTCAGTTCATGCCTGCCTGCTGACAGTCCAGTCTTTGTAGTTGCTTTGTGTAGTGGGGGACTAAAAATGGCCAGCAGAGGCCACCACTCTGGGTGGCTCACACTCCTTTTAGTCAGTGAATCTCTCCCAGAACTGCATTTTAGTTATGCTTCCTAACAGCCAGAATGTTGTAGGGGGCAGGGGAGAAAGGCAGACAGACAAACCATTGAAATATTGGGTGCATTATATACCATGCACTCTGACCTTTCCATGTGGCCTTTTATTGCTGGAAACTATTTATGAAATACAATAAGACCTTTCCCTTATGTTAAAAAATGTGACTGTACAATAGACCTTTGACATTTGCTAGAGTATTTTCTGAGACCTTTTGCATTTCCCCAGATTTGCAGATACTTTTGTAGATTAGCAGTTGACTTTCTTTTGAGGTAATTTCACAAGGAATAAATCCTTTATCTACTGCTGGTGATAAATAAAGTACAACGAAACCTAAGTGCGATTTGGATACTGATCAGTGGGTAAGCACACAAGTCGCCTGAATGACTTGGTGATCTATATACCTTGAAGCAGAAATTATTCCAATTTGCTTCTGCAGAATTTTGTATGACACGTCAGGATTCTTAGGGGTCTCTTCATGTTGAATCTTCAGGTGCCATGCTTTAGGCCATAAATGACATTTCTTTTCTTGGTTCAATTAACACCACCCTCTCCCCAGCAAGAGAGCAAACACTGTAAGCCACTCATTAAAGGAGATCTTACGTTGTGTTTAGTGAAGTCATGACCAAGTTAATGAAAACTCACGGAAGCCTTACGTTTGTACATAAAAACACCATCTAAAATTTACAAGAATCCACCACATGACAGGCATTGTACTATGCATGTGTTTCCTTATCTTTCCCAGCCATTGGAGTCATCCGTGGAGATTTTTATAAACACTCATACTCATGTCCAAGCCCAGACCTGCTGAATCAGCCTGGTGATAGATCTTGGGTCACAGGCCCCCCCTCAGCCCCTCCACTCCCTACCACTCCCATACTTATCACTTAATTCTTCCAACTAAACCAGGTGGGAGTTTGCCTCTGCTGAGACTGGCTCCCTTTAGCAACTTGCACCGGGGTAATTAATATGACTGCTGAGTGGGGGTAAGTTGAAGTTAGATCTGTTTGATACAGATCCCCTTGTTTTTTCCATTATAGTAAGTTCACAGATTTTCTCTTTCAGATGGTACAATCCCTCCCATACCAAGATTTCTCTCTGATCTCTTTGGCTTTACTGTGAGTTTTGTTAAAGTGGGAAGATATATAGAGGATTTTCTTTATTATAAGTTTTTTATTTTTCTCAATACTGCATTTACCATTTTTTCCTCCATTTTCTTAGAGCACACTTGGAAAACACACCCTTATCTGAAAATATAACACTAATTATGTAACATTATACGAATATTGTTTCTGTAATAATTGCTAAAACGTTAGCCCCAAGCATCTTAATTTTCACCATTTGTTTACTTGTTTTATGTTTCTACTAGAGTCTAAACATTGAAACTATCAATCCATTCTAATTGTGCTTCTTTCTTTTTCTTTACCTGTTAGCCGTTAGGTCTCAAGAATGGCTTCATGGGGGCCAGGGATTTAGCTCAGTGGTTCCGGCACCTGTCTTGCAAGCAGAAGGTCCTGAGTTCCATCCCTGGTACCAAAAAAAAAATAGCTTCATGACTTGATTTTTCTCTACACCAGTTCACTTTCTGTAAAAAGATACTAGTATTTGGTATTTAAATAATAAGTGTACTTTTCTATAATAAAAACTAGGAAAATTAATTAGAAAGAAGTAAAGGCACCCATAGTTGTAACCAGTTCTCAGAAATATTGTATGCATTTTTTCATACAGTCTTCCTGTTTTATCCAACATTTAGATTTACCTTAGTATAGTGTGAATGTTTACATGTAACATGATTGAAACTTTATAACATAATTCCAACCTGTGATTTAAATTTTACTGGTCAGAATGCCCCTTCATGCAATGCGGTCCAAACTACTTGAATTAACTGACCATTCCTGACTGTGTCTTTTGTTTTCTTAACTTTGCCTCTGGTTATGTCTGTCCAGGTTACAGCCTGTAATGCTTTGCTCTTTTCTTTGACCTCCAAATACTGTTCCTGTAAGAGTCCTCCAAGAGTCTGTCCCCTGTTTCCTGTTCCTCTCTAAGAGGAGTCCTACTTAGCACAGTAGACCTTTATTAATAGCTGCTTTAATGCATTTTACCTTCCATTCCTAAAAGGACAGCAAAGGCCAGGTCATCTAGATCATTAAGGGCAAAGATTTTATTTCTAAATCCAGTGAACACATTTCCACTTTATCTTCTTTCTTCTCTGAGAACATTTAGCACTATTGATTCATCTTGATAAACATTTTTCCTTTGGTTCATCATATTTCCTCCTCCCTCTCTGCCCACTTGGTTGTTTTTGTTTTTGAGTTTGTTCCTCTTCAGGCTCTCCTAGGTTCCTTTGTTCTTTCATTCCACACATTCTTTCTGGGCCACATCATTTAGGTTGGTGGCTTAAAGTATCACCCATATATTTATATATTCTAAATCTAAGTTGAAAACCTTTTCCTAGTTCAGAGTTATATCCCTTTTGCTGCTTGGAGGTACTTCAGCTTGAGTAGGTCTAAAATTGAACTTGTCATTTCCTCTAAACTGTTTTGCTCCTGTATACCCTATGCCAGTGAGGAGGAGGAGGAGGAGGAGGGGAATGAGGAGGGGAATGATAATGGCTAACATCAAGTGCTCATGTACTTCACTTGAATTAGTACAGTAATTCTAGGAGGAGGGATTACTGTCATCTCCATTTCATGCATGAGGAAACTGAGGTAAGGAGAAGTTAAATAACTAGTCCAAGATTATCCAGCTCTTAAATGACATAACTAGGAGTCTGGCTGCGAGCCTTTGTTTCAACCTCTGTGGTTCACTGACTTGGTTGCTCAAGCCAGAAATCTGGCAGTCATTCTTGGCTGACCCCTTTCTGCCTTACAGGCAGTGAAATCTGAAACAAGGCCTTCTGATTCTACCTCTTAGATGTCTTTCGAATTAACCCTTTTCTTTTTCACTGCCATCATGGCCTAAGCATCTGTTGTGCCTCCCTGAATTATCATATCGCTGCTCTTCCTAGTTCTGGAATCATTTTACCGAATTCTGGGTTTCATAGCACTCCAAGGTTAAATGTACTTTTTTGCAGTGGTCTAGCAGCTCACTTTGGTCACCTGTCCCATCTCTCCAGTTGTACCGTTAAACATTGGAACCCCTTTCCTTCCCCAGAGTGCACGGTGCTCTCCTCCTCCTCCATGCTTGCCCTCGCCCAGTGGTGGTGAACCTGTGGCACGCACATGCAGCGATGTTTGTTGTCATTGAAGGCTATGAAAAGTTCACCATCACTGTGAAGCTGAGCTCCTCTAGCTCTTGAGCTCCTCCCGCTCAGCGGTGGGTGTCACCTGAGAGCCATCATTCTTGGGCTTGGTGAGGCCTGTGCTTTTTGTTCCCTACGTGAATACTTTCTCTGCTATACTTGTGTATGTCCAGGTTTTCCTGCTGTATTATCACTTGTGTAGCTGTCTGTTCTATCCCTTAATTCTTAGTTTCCTGACCATAAGAATCAAGTCGATTTTGTTGACTTTTCATCTTCAGCATTCAGCAGAAAGCCTGGCATAAAATAATACCCATCGAAGTTTTGGAGTCAATTAGTCACTAATTTTATACCCTATTATGTTCCAGTAAAGACTGGAAGTGGCAGAATGGGATCACATCAAATTTAAAAGCTTCTGCACAGCAAAAGAAATAGCTACCAGAGTGAAGAGACAACCTCAGAATGGGAAAAAATTTTGCCAGTTATTCCTCAGACTAATATCTAGAATATATAAAGAATTTTTAAAAATTAGGACCCCACCCCCAGATAAAAGTCCTAATCAAAATGTGGGTAACTGAATTGAATAGATACTTCGTAGAAGACGAAGTCCAAAAGGCCAATAAATACATAGTAAAATGTTCAACATCTCTAGCCATTAGAGAAATGCGAATTAAAGCACTACTGAGGTTCCTTCTGACTCCAGAAAGAATGGCTATCATCAAGAAATCAAATAATAAAGGTTGGTGATGCTGGCATGGGGAGGAAATCTTCTACATTGTTGGTGGGAATGTAAACTAGTACAACCACTGTGGAAATCAGTATGGAGATTTCTCAAAAAACATTCTGTTTAACCCAGCTATTCCCCTTCCAGCTATCTTCCTGAAAGAGTTAAAGACATCATATTACAGTAATATATGTATACCCTTGTTTATAGCAGTACAACTCATAATAGCTAGATGTTGGAGGTGGCCTCTGTCCATAAGCAAATGAATGAACAAAGAAAAGGTGGTAATCATGTATAATGCAGTACTACTCTGCCATAAAGGAGAAACTTGAGACAATTAGAAAATAGATGGACCTTGAGACCATAATGTTAAGTGAAATAAACCAGACAAGCTTAAATATCACATACTTTCTCTTGCATGAGAAAATATACCTAAAGAGCAGCATGAAAGACAGACAGTAGGAAATAGGGAGAGAGCTTTTGCAGAAGGGAAGTGGTCTAAGAGATGGGGGGGCAGGGGGGATGGGGTGAAAAAGGAGTGAAGATGTGTTACCTGCATGTGAGGGTTGTAACCACTAAGAACTGCAAACATCAATACATTTTTCAAAAAGATTTAAACTGGCAAACATAAGTATGTATAATTTTAGCAGCACCAAAGTGTAAAGAAATCAAGGTAAAAGGAAAATAAGGGTCAAAGTTTTTTTAATGGATGGAAATTAGCATACAAATTATGTATTATAAGATTTTATATTCCTATAAAATAAGAGTCTAAAAGTTGGCGTGGATCTTTTGGCACCTTCTATAGAGGGAAGCTGAATGGTATCATTAGCAAGGTCCATAAGGTTAAAGCAAACCCTGTGCTCAGGGAAAGCATTTCTGAAAGACCTGAGAGAAATAAGTTAGTTCTTTACAAAGAGGACATTGTACCTTGTGGTCACCGTGCTCCTCAACAACATATTTATGCTAAATATAACAGCCTCCCCCCTCCCGAAAAGGTCTAGTAGTCCAGGCCAGCCTTGAATTTCCTGTGTAGGTGAGGCTGGCATCAGTCCTCCTGCCTCAGTCTCCAGAGTGCAGGGGTTGCAAGCATGCAGCACCATGCCTGTCTTGTGACAACATTGTCAGGGCCGTTTGCCTGGCCTCATGGTGTTCGCCCGTGTTGGGCAGTGGTGTGAGGAGGAGAAAGCAGCACAAGTATTCAGGACACTGGGACTCTGGATTTAGTCTCTGGATTCTAATGGTATGGACAGACTGTATGTCCTTCAGACATTCTCCATAAATGATATTTCAGTCCCTGAGATTTTTTAGTTTTCAGATTTTGAATATTCTTTGTGAAGCACTTATCTACAGATATTTTGTATCACAAATTAAGTGCAGGTTTAAAGGCTACTTCAGTAGCCAGAGCTAGGAGTAGGCGTCTCCTAGGGAAGCTAAAGAACCTAATGAGATTTCATTCATAAATTAAAGGCCACCCTGCCTCCGAACTGAGGTTGGCCAAGGTGTTGCTACGAAGACAATTGGGATTTATGCGTTTTTGGTTTATTGTTTTGTTTTGATATTCTGTCATTTGTGCCAAAACTGTGGCTTGCATATAGTAAGTGAACCACTGTTCAAAGGTCCTGGTCTGTGTGGCCTTTTAAACCTTTTTTTCCTGTGACACCATCCCTCTCTTCTTCCCAGCCATGTAGGACACGCTTTTCTCATGCTATTCTCTCTTTTCAACTGTCCCCGGCCACGTGTGTAGCTCCTTTTGGTCTCCCAGCCTGTTCAAGGCTCTTGCACTTCTGTTTCCTGGTTTCTGCAGGTCCCTGGGGTCCCCTTTTCTTACTACAGTGTCATCACATTCTTCCTTAGTCATCATTACTTTTGCTCCTTTGTAATATGAGCTCCCTTCGGATACTGTGTCTTATTTTTATGTCTGAGACCCTAATACAGTGCCAGGAATATTGTACGTACTCAATAAATTTATGGTTTTGTGAAAATTTCCACAGATGAGCTATTTTTAGCATCTGTCACACACACACCTAATTAGCAGTGACCACTGCCACCTCCATCCTAGATATCAGACACTGGTCAGATATTAATTCATGTGGGACCTCTTTATTGCCACAGAGGTGAGATACGGCTGTACCAGAGGGCTGCCTGAGGGAGATGACAATAATAACTATCTTAAGATACCCTCCTCTTTTTAGAGCTAGCAGAGGATAAAAGAGTGACTTTTTCTGTTTTAGATTATGTATTCTAATAGAAGTACAGAAACATGGATGAATAAAGTCTTAGCATTTGATCAAGTGAAAATTAATGTGTACATGTGGTTCTTAATATTCTTGTGGTGTATTAATATTCCTATTCCATGAGTTCCAGATCCTGAGATGGTGCTGCAGAGGCAGTTTATAGCTTTATACCTCTTTGACTTCAGTGGAAGAAAAACTGTCTTGGGCTTATAGACTCTTTTTCTAATATCAGCCAGCCATAATATGCCTTCCATTGTAAAAACTGTGTAGATGGTGGTGACTACGTGTCATTAATAAAAACAATTCTCAAAATATATGTTCTGCTATTAGAGGATTATTGGTTTTATAGATGAGTGAAAGCTATGGACTTGTAATTTACTCGTTCAAAAACCTTGTTTGTGCCTAAACATTGTTGTCCTGTTATAAAGTTTAAGTTATTTTCTTAGGAGTATCACCTTGAGATGTTGATAACTGACATTTATAAAATATCTTTATTTTAAAATTCAGAATTTTGGAAGAAGCTTCTGTAAGTAAACCATGTGGAATGGCCTTTGAGTGCTAACCTCTGTGCACGGTGCAATGACCACAGGAATATTGTTACATACACTGCAGTGCTCTCCCGGATTCCCCTGACTGCCAAACAGGCCTGGGTGGTAGTGGGAACTCGCTATGGCTCATTTAGTGGCCAGTGCACAGTAAATGTTTATGTCCTTAGAATACTGTTTGAGACAAAGTATATGAGAGGATTTCACATGAGGATACAAAGTGTATGTAACAATATACTTTAGCTTCCTGTTCATATGAAAATCAAAAATTTATTCTCAGCGAAGGTGAGAGTTGGGCCTGCATCTAAACCCTATGAACTTCTGAGGCCAGAAATTCATCTTAACAGGAGCATACGCTTGCATTTTGGTTTTCTATAGTATATGATTTTATTGTGAATATGTTGTATGTCTTTTTTGGAGTTGTCCAAAAAAGGCTTACCTTGTTTCTCCTTTATTCTTGACGCGTGTCCATTTCATTACTGATCAAGGTTGTGCCTTTTCTCTTTTAGCTTTGTAGATTTTCTTCTTACTTATTCAAAACATTCCTTCTGTGTTTCTCCAGATAAGGACTTTTCTTGCATTTAACAAAAA